CTGACCTCTGTGGGGCTCGAACCCGAAACGCGACTGTTGCCGGTTTGTGGTTAAGGGCATTGAGCTACAGGGCACGGTAACGACCCTCGTGACTACGGAACAATGATTGCATACGGGTAAAAAATGCTGAAGCTTAACAGGTTCGCAGGATGATCATAGCGAAAATGCCAAATATAGAAAAAATTGTCGATAAATTTAAGTTCACACCCGGTGGACTCACCGCGGTATTTGCGGTATAAAATGTAAATCCCCTGCAAGTCATGTTCGTTAACGCACATGTGTATCCGTCTACACATGGATATAAATCCGTTTACATCGGTTTCGTGGGGGCTGGAGCGTACAATGTTCGTCTTAGCCCTGTCATCATTTAAGGAACAGAAAACAAAGCAGGTAATGCAGGTGGTGTCGAGTCGTTTTAAAACGGGTAGCGTGGGCGAAGAAACGAGAAAAGTCGAAAGGGCGTTGCAGCGGTGACAAATTCGAAGAGAAAATTTGTTCCGGCGGCATTCCAGCTGACTGTATTGTGTAGCCAGTTTTAGCTGGTGACCTCTCAACTTTGTGTTGCGCCTAAGTTTCAAGAGGTGGCGACAAGCGTCATCGCACCAGAATGAGGTCGCCCCGTGAAAGGCGATAATTTCCGCTGTACTTTCCTAAAGTCTTCAGTCGCAGGTGGTATAGCAAGCGGAGCAATCCCTTCATATGTTTCGCTGTGGAGCACGTTGTAATACAATCCATGGTTTTGCAAGAAGGCGTGATACTACCCGGTTGCCCAAGCCGAAGTAGGGAGTTGACTTAGGGGACTCCACCCAGAGCCTTTGGCTAAATAACCTACCCGCAAGGCAGCGTGGGGAATTGAGGGAATCGCGCCCATTGGGAGGCGTTGACTGAATGTTCAGTTCATGCGTCCTTCTTCGGGAGATTATCAAACAGGGGCCCAATACTCCCCATGAAGTCAGCACACCTGCTGGAATACAATGTCTCACCGAGGTGGAACATTGACGCCGAACACTTTGTTGGGACGGGTTACACCCGAACCACCCAGCTGGAACCACGAGGAGGTAGTTCGGCAAGCCAGCTATCCGCTAATCTCCATGGTTTTATGTTGGTTCTGTGTTTAATTGATAGACTGTTAGTAATACTGCAACTACTGCTACAACTACTACTGCTACAATTACAACAACAACAACAACAACAACTACTACTACTACTACTACTACTACTACTACTGCTTTCGCTGTCCTTCGCTGGGCGGTATCTAATGCAATCAGATCGCGTTTTAACCAGGGTTGCCAGGTCTGAGTCGCGTACTCCACATCGAGCCTAACATACGCATTGAGCATTTGGGGAAGATGGAGAAATTGAACTGCCCGAACGCCCTCCGTAAGAGAGCAATGTGTTGGTTAGCGGTTTTGGACGCCTTCAAATACTGCGCCGAACAAGCGAGGTCGTCTTGTATCACCACCGCAGGATCGCGCTCCTGTAAGGCGGTTTTCAGCATGTGGCCTCCAAGCTTATATCGGTAAGTGGGCTTGTGGCGTACATGTACAGTTTTGCACTTGTCCGCTTTAAACGGAGGCATATTTATATTTGATTATACAAAAGCAAGGTCTAAGTCACTTCGCAACACGTCGTGATAGTCCTGACAACCGATTGCCCGTCATACCTCGATGTCATCGGCAAAAAGCAGGAAATTCGACTCGATGACACGAGCGAGGTCGTTGATGAAGAGCATGAATATGCGGGGCCCTAACACCGATCCCTGTGGGGTACCGCAGTCCACGTCAATAGGATCAGAAAATGATCCCCGGACCCGGAGCCAAACCTGAAGCCGCCACTGAAGGAGGAAATTTTCGATCCATGCAAGGACCGGGTCCCCAATTCCGTACGTATGCAGCTTTTGGAGAAGGATGTGGTGATCTAAGCCTTCGGGCTTAAGAAAAGTTGAGACAGATGACATCAGCATCGGTCTCACTGTCTGCTATTTCGGTCCAATTGCCATGCGCACTCAGAAGATTTGTAACACATGTCCGATACTGAAGGAATCTGTGTTGTTCCTGATGTTAGACCTTTCAAAGTAGCCCACTGGAGCCTCAGCAGCGATCGACTCCATCACCTTTGAGAGCCCAGGGAGAAGAATCACTGGATGATAGTTGATGGGCTCCGAAGAGTTACCACACTTGAAAATTGGGGTGATGATATTCTGCCTCCATATGTTGAGGATCTGCTGTTCATCCAGGCATCATTTGAAAATTTGAGCTAATGGCTCAGCTATCCTCGTAGCTTCCATCTGCAGTACTTTGGGGGAATGTTGTCAACACCGGAGGAAGTATAGGTGTGCAATGATATCAGCTTTCTCAAAACGGTCGCTGAAGTAAAAACGATGTGTGTGAATACTGGCGTCGGAGGGAATGTGACATGTATGTGACATACTTGTGGCGCATCGCAATATTGAAGCCAAATGCAGCCGCAGAACGTTGGCTGCATCCCCGGCAGTTTGAGCACACCCATTTGCCGAGGTAAGTGGGGAACACTACGCTTTACATTCCTGGGGTAGTTCACGTGTTTGTACAGAAGCTTGGTGTCAGCGAAATCCTTTCCGCTAGATTGTTCTGGTGTACTAATTTACCCTCACGTACAAGTGTGGTACAGTGATTACGGTGCACTAAATAGCAGCTCCAGTTGTCAGGACTAGGACTCGCCCTGTACAAATGCCACGCTGAGTCTCTTAAGGCTATGCGTTTTCGGGTTCCACACCTTATGATTGATGGTCCGCTCGTAGAATGAATGGACTTGTTGACGGATGCGTTTAATCAGCTCGCTGAAATTGCAATCAAACTCCGTCCATGCAGTAGCAATGAGGCAATTGTCCGAAAAATCCCGAATGGCACCCCAACAAGATTTGTGAGTGTATCGTAGTGTGTGATTGTTTGAAACAGGTCACTATGTTCTTGTGGATATTCCGCATAACACACATGGTCGTAAAGTATTGTTACATGATCACTCCGCCGCAGCTTTGGTATAGCATCGGAAGGATGAAACAACCGTACAGTGTCGTGTGTGATGGCCGTCTGAGTGAGTCTAGGTATGATGAATTTCTAATTATACCATTCAAATACAACTACTACTCTTCGTAATCGATACGCACACCAAACTGCTTACAATGTCACTAGTTTATTGGCGGCTTAGGTTTGTCGCTTGGTGAGGGGACTACACTATCCGCCGCACGGCAATAACGTGTAAGCCAGTCGATACGGAGAGACGCTATATCACATCTAGTGACTTAGTTACAACGGTCATTACCGTCCTCCGTAGCACAGTGGTCTCAACCACAGAGTGGCAACAGTCGAGTTGCGGGTTCGAACCCTACCAGAGTGAGATAGAATGCGTACTGCTGACGATTCCCGAAACGATGAAGCGGCTGTGCAATGCTTTTCCGGGTGCGTGATAGCTGTTTGACTGAGTCTAGATGTGATGAATTTCTAAGTATGCCATTCAAACCCCCCTTCCTACTCAGTTGTAATAAAGTGATTCATTCAGAACTGCGCGAAACCCGGTGAAAGATGAGGCCCAACTTTGATGTGGAAGTGATGCCCAAAGGTAGCCTTGGATCCACCAGAGAATCCGAGGCACTTCGCTCAAAAACCCGACCGCAAGATAGCAGAATGGGGCACCAGATGGATCGACAGTGCATAAATAACTGCCACACGGTTTTCTACCTCCAAACTGGAGGGCCCGCAGACTGAGCTTGTCCGACCTATAATAACCCTCGACCAATCGTGGGAGTATCACTTAAGAGCCCAGGGGTGCCACTCAATATGATTTGAAGGATCGAAGGTGCGCAAACTTCCGCATCAGGTTAAGGTTCCGTCGCATTGCAACAGACACATACAATAACCCAGGTGTTCAAACTGAAGCAGTGGCTCAAATAAAAAGATGTTGGGAATGTAATTGAATGTCGTGCTCTTGAAGCAAAGACATCAAAACTGACCTGGGGCATGTCATGCGGCAAACACGGCGTGGCTAACATGAACTACCTAGTAGAGACATGGATTACAAGCAAAGCCTGCAGCGCACCTGATGATGAATATGAGGAAAAGCGTCAGTAGAGTGATTCAGTAAATCAGTTCGTCGGCGGAAAGGAGAACACCATCAGTTCACTGGTATGTCCCCAGGAGTACACTCTCCATGGAAGATGGGAATCCAAGATGAATAAAAACGCACAAGCGGAAGCGACGATGGTACCATCAATGTGATTGCATTGCTTCACAAATTGGTGATAACTGAGCATTGGAAAAATGCATACACGCATGAGGCATGTTTCCCTGTTTATGGCACACTGCGTTGTCCTGATAAGGGGAATAGGCTTGAGGACCTGGTAATCGTGATGCAGGCTTCCGAGTCGGTTAGAGCCAAAATAGCGAAAGCTTATCTTTCCGCAATCATGTCGACGAAAAGCACAACGAAAAGCGTGCGGAGCATGTAAGCACACCGTACCTACGTTTCGCTGCAACGTGACCGCCACAAGTCGCGCGTGGACTGCGTATGCCATGAAATTGCCTGCATCAAAGAGGATTCGAACCGTTTACCTTCGGAGTACAAGGCAGGCGTGTAATCATTTCGGTCACCATCCGGTCAAAAGGCACGAAAATCGGATATACACGTCACACAGAAGGAATCGGCACTTCGTAATCATGTGTGAGTTCAGCAGGGGAACAGTGAAGACCAGCAAGAAAAAGTTACGGGTACTAGAGCGATCCATTATAAAATTTTGCATCAACTTGCTGAATAGCTGGGAATGGAATTGATAAAGTGGTCAAGCGGTACTGTGGATAATAATCGAGGGTAGATGCTTGTAAGAAATCCAGAAGGGACCCGGTATAAAAAGGAGGGGAAAAACAAGAAATGGCGGTAACAGTGGTATTGATCTGTTAATTCTAATTAGGAACGTTGTAAATTCAGTATAACAGCATTGACGATACAAATATGAATTCCGACAATACCTGCCAACATGCTAACAACTGAGAGCAAAATCTTTTCCACTGATTGTACTGGACTCCATCGTTCGACAGAGCATTCATATCCCAAAGGATCGTCACCAGGAGCATGTAGAATGGATATGCATACGCGACCGTCCGGATAGACTGTGATATAGGCAAATGAATGAATGATACCATTGTCAATGTAGGGAAGGAGACAAAATGTCAGTGGTAAGTACAAGTAGTAATCTCAACAGTCTAGTAACTAGACATAGAGCCAAGAAAACCATGGAAATCAGTGTATAAGAGACAGTCATTGCGTCATAATCGTCATGGCATGCTAGCTGAAGGTGGGCAACGCACTTCAGCTAATATGCCGCAAGAAAATGGAATATTTTGACAAAAATACAGAACAAAACATTTTTAGTTTGTTTGTCACACGCCGGTTTTTCT